AGCACAGGACCATTTACCAAATGTTTAAAAAATGGAGAGAAAAAAAAAACAAAAACAAACTCACAGAGAGAAAGTTCACTCTCTGCAGCCAAACTGTTCCATGATTGTTCCCGACCAGCCTCCATATTGTACATATTGTGCAAGAGTCCTTGGCATTGAACCATTTCAAGGCAGCTCTGGAGTTCTGCAGGGACAGTGCCATTGGCCTTGTTTTCCTGCTGTAGAACAAACATCCGTGGTGACTTAACTGGTTCCTCTAATCCTGCTGTCCAGGGGATTTCATGAATCGGAAACTCCAGTGCTAAACCTTGTGTGTTTTTTATTTCATATAATATCTTCCAAAACAAACAACGGGCTTGTTTGCATGTCGGGGAGATGACGGTGTTTGTCTGCTAGAAATGGGAGGTCACAAATCTCTCTTCCTAGTAACTGCACAGCAGTAGCCTTGAGGTATTTGATCAGCAAGTAATAGGTGTAGGCTTATGTGTGGTGTTCTGTATTGGCACAGCAGATTCACTCGTTTAATTACAACAAATGTTAAGTGAATATTGCGGTCACACACAAAATTGTGATTTCTTTTTCATTTGATTTGAAATTTCCTGCTGTGGAAAAAATTGTCTCTACAACCTACAGTTGGTTTCACTAAGTGATCAAATGCATGGTCCAAAAATGGGGAACAGTATTTCCCATCACAATTTCCAAAACCCCAGTTTGACAAATTGTTGTTTGACCAACAGTTTAAAACCCAAAGATTTTAAGTTTAATATCACAGAAGACAAAAAAAACAAAGGAAATCAGCAGTAAAGCTTCATGTGAAGAGTTGGAACTAGTGAATGTTTTTGAATAAAGAATTAACAAATTATAAAACTAGTTTAAAAGATGACTGATTTTCTGTCAATCAAAAGCAATTGCATTAATTAGTCAACTAATCACTGCAGCTCTAATCATGCATGAACCTGTGGCCCGTATAAAAGAGATGCATATGCAACATTAAGATAATTGTTATAACTTCTAATAAATGAATAACATTTCTATGAACTGCCATACTCTGTGTCCTGATACTGAGTGACAAACTATCACAGAAGATGTCAACGTCAGCTTGGATGTTAAAGGTGTCACTGATGGACCTGTTCTTGTGTCAGTATTTGGATCATTGCAGCTGAACTACAGTGACGCAGAACCGAGTAGCCTATAGGCTGTTTTGGTTCGAAGTGCTGTGCAAAATTTTGGTAAGAGGAATAAAAGAGGAAATAAAAAAAAACATCCTAATAAAAGAAGAAATGAAGTAAATTCCACCCATCATTACTGTGTGCACTAGAGCGTTTCCCAGCAGGTACTGGCAACACAGGACAGCATCCTGGACATATACTGGGTGGACACACAGAGACACTTTCTAATTCAGCTGCATCTTTGGACTGTGGGAGGAACCCAGAGGAAATCTACCAAACATAGGACACAATGAACACTCCCCACCCAAAAGACCAGGGTGCAGATTAAATCCCAGGACCTGTTTGCTGTGAGGCGACAGCTCTAACCACCAAACCCCTATGCCATTATATCTAAATTTAACACAGGCAAATGTTTCCTCAACTGCATGTTCAGACGTTCTTCTTCTTCCCTTTTAATGTCAAGAAAATGTGGAAAAAAATCCACTAAACTTAAGTTCAGCGTGTGTGATGTCATCTGAGATACACTGAACTAATTTCCAGTAAAACCGTGTGCCGTAAAAAGTGAAAGTCTGGTTTTCTAACTGAAATATGAAACTCATCCTGGTCTATCATGGAGAATATACTGAGAGTTGTTTGTTCACCAGGCACTTGACCTTGACACGGTTTCTCCTACTTGTTTGCCGTCCCGCTGTTTTTGTTTTCCCTCCTCATGTCCTTTTCTATGTGTCCTTCTCTCAGCTACTTGAACGATTTGGACAGGATATCTCAGGCCACCTACATCCCAACTCAGCAGGATGTCCTGAGGACTCGAGTCAAAACCACAGGCATTGTGGAGACACACTTCACATTCAAGGACCTGCACTTCAAGTGAGAATTTCTTCACCGTAACAACTGGCTGCGACACAGTGTTTTGCTTGATGGCTTAATTAGTTTTCCTTCCCGTTACTGACTCAGTCACTGCCAGAGAAATTCCCTTTGTGCACATACAGCTGTGAGTTGTGACAGTCTGTGAAGGTGTTGCGCACATTAGCGATGACTCTCAAACACAGACAGGAAGTGGGAGCAGTAGGCTTGATGATGTCATATGAGAAGCTCGATAGCTACTGCCAGTGTCACTGAAATTCATACTGGGGGAAACAAAACAGAAGAGAAATTTCATTTGCTCCATAAACACACAGACAGATAAAAAAAATCTCACGTGTCTGTTTTTCCCTGTAATGTCATACAGCAGCTTAAATACCCGGTAGACTTGTGTAATACAGTGGTGACACACCATTACTGTCACTGTTGCGTATGACCACACATTACCCTATGTCTGTAAGTTAGGCGTTGCTCACAGTGATGGCTAACCAGCTATCTCTAAAACAAAGCTTTCGTCTTCATGGTTCCAGCAGTTAATGACTAACTTTGGAGCTGTGAAGGTAAACAGGAACGAAAAGGGGGCTGGCCTGCTGAGCCAGGGTGGCAGTCTTTGAAAAGTTAAATGTGTTGGTTTATTTTATTTGCAGTGGTTAACAAGCTTTAGTTATATATGAATCATTTTGCTTGACAAGCTCAACAGTATTACTGGGTACACCAAAATAACATGCCACGGTTGCATTTTTTTGTGTGATTTTTTTCATATAGTGTCCCTTTGGACTCTGATTTGAAAATGCTCTTGCTGTTTAGTTGCTTGTTTTGAAATGGCCTTGAATGGGAGATATAGGATATAAATCATGTCTGACTGTGTTACGGTTCATGTCACTCTGGTGTGCCTTTACGCAGAGTGGCTTGGCATTAAACGTTTCATAGCAAACAGTAAAATCGCCCACATTTCAGCCTCTTCGCTGAGTAAATGGGAAATATAATGCAAAAGCTAAAGGTCTGTGCCTCTTCTGCTGTTGTGCGCATAGTTTTGTATAGACATTTGCTGGACACTTGAGGATTCTCTGCACTGATAGCATTTTATCAAAATTACTATAATGTAAAATAACAAAGATTTTCTGTTTTCTTTCCTCTGCATCATTTAGTGTCGATAAACACTGCAGCGAGACCAGAGCAGCCACAGTCACTGGGTTTCAGTAAACACTGCGTGTATTGTATTGTGTGTATGTGTGCTGGGGAACATGCTTACATATTAGGTGTCTCCTGCCAGAATGTTCGATGTTGGTGGTCAGCGATCGGAGAGGAAGAAGTGGATCCATTGCTTTGAGGGTGTGACTGCCATTATCTTCTGTGTGGCCCTCAGTGACTACGACCTGGTTTTGGCTGAGGACGAGGAGATGGTGAGTGGTTCGGCCACCGACTTGTGGATAAAGAATATAGGAGGCACTGTGTGTTCGTACCCAGTGGGAACTTTGTCTTTGTATACAGGAACTGTAGTGGGTCAGAAAATAAAGGATAAGCTCTGTTCAAGATCTTTTTCACGTTTATGGATCAGTGATCACACAGCTCGTCTTTCCCATGTAAAGCACAGTGACCCAACGTCCTCTTCCTGTTTCCCTCAGAACCGAATGCATGAGAGTATGAAGCTGTTTGACAGCATCTGCAACAACAAGTGGTTTACAGACACCTCCATCATCCTCTTCCTCAACAAGAAGGACCTGTTTGAGGAGAAGATCAAGAAGAGTCCACTCACCATCTGCTACCCAGAATATGCTGGTAAGATCTGCAGCATTTTGCAGAAAATTTTCTGACAGTGGCAGGAGAAAGGTCCCCTTTGAGGTTGTCCAGTTAGCAGAACAATGCACAGCCAGGTCACTCATTCCTCAAATAATATACATCTACTATTTCAATGCCTTTTCCTGTATTGCAACTTCCTGCCTCCGACACTTCCTGCTTCCCGTCTTTTCCAGGCTCCAACACTTACGAGGAAGCAGCCGCCTACATCCAGTGTCAGTTCGAGGACCTGAACAAAAGGAAGGACACCAAGGAGATTTACACCCACTTCACCTGCGCCACAGACACCAAGAATGTGCAGTTTGTCTTCGACGCTGTCACCGATGTCATCATCAAGAACAACCTGAAAGACTGCGGTCTCTTCTGAGGATCATGACGATGAAGACAGCAACCCTTTTTCATGGTAAGGAACTCTGTCATCGTCCTCCCTCCATCCTTCCACCAGCCAGAGCTCAACCATGGCCCACACCCTTTTGCCTGGCTCGCATGCCGAGGACGTGTGTGCACATGTGACTGTACATCATGGATGAACGCATGTGTAGGATTATGACGGTATATGTGTTCACCATAGCAGGATGCAGTGGGAGTTGCTGAGGAAACTGTGGCAGCCTGGTTTAAATGCCTGCCTGAAATGTAGCTTTTCTCTATCACAAAGATGCAGTGTAATCCATTGTAATCAAATGCATAATTTAATCACTGAATCGCTGAAATCCCTGCCTTCTTTTATCAGACGCTTAAATACATTGTGCTCCATTTAGATGTTTAAGTGATGGCAAGATCGAGCCCTGTGAAACCTCACTTTATAAAAGAACCATCCCTCCCTTCATGTTTCTTTTTCCTCTTCTGTCCTCAGGCAGTGGAGCCAGCTTATTGTGCATCTTTGGTGGGGAAGATGAGAGGAGTCGGGAGGATCAGTCAGACCAGTGCTGTACTATATGCCACTATTAACAGCTTTATTTATGTTTTGTCTTGAACATTTTGAACTAGCGTTACATTTGTGTAGGATGTTTGTATCATTGTAAAAGCGTTGCAGCAAACTTTCACTTTTTGTTTTTAATTTCCCTTTTTCTTTTCGTCTTTCGTTTTTGTGGACAAAGAGATCACATTTATGCTGTTTCTTCCGCTGCTGTATCTGGAAATGGAAACTTTGGTGTTGGTGGAAATGCTTCTTTTCTTCCTTCCCTACAATGAAAAGGGAAGAAAAGGGGTACAACTTTGAGTTCAGTTTGCTGGTACTTGTGCCTTCGCATGCCTTTTACTGCAGTCGTAGTCCCAATGCTTGTTCTGTTGCCTGCTGAATTGTTCTAAACATAAAGAGGTAAACTGTTTTTCATATGTTAGTGTCCCTGCTATCTTCTATGTGCACCCCACTGAGCTTTTGGGAAGAGGAGGATTTCCCTCTGGTCTAAAGGTACATGGGTCTCCATGGTGACCAACATGTAGCCTCCACAATCCCCTACCCCCAAGACCCCACCTGCCATAACAGTGGAAGGCCTCACTGGCCGATCATGCTGAGATGTATATTGTTACATTTACCGCACAAACCTGGGGTTCTGATTTTTAAACAGTGTATAAACTATCCATTGTTTCCAGTCCTTTGGATAAAGGTTAGTTGAGGCACAGAGCTTATAATTTGCTCAAGGTTAAAAGTACAAATATCAGAGTAGGCACACTTTACTGTACATTTTAATGTATTAGGAGGAGAGCTTATGGAGTTTTTGGTGTTACGGAGAGAGAAACTGAAGATGGTTGGAAATGTTTTAAGGTTTAAACGTCCTTCTTGGATCTCATCCAGTGATGATACGAGAGGGGAGGCGCTGCTTGAAGATCCGTAAAGCCTTTCATCAGGCGCTGGAAACAGTGATGGTCAAGGGAACCTGGTCTGTAATTGTTAGATCAGTACTACTTTGCCAAGAAGAGCAATGATATGTACGGTCCTGGATCTATTCATATAAAGAAACTGCCACAACTGTCAGTGTATGTGTATGTTCTCCACAGAAGGAGAATCTTTGTAGACTCATCTCCCTTATTTTGCTAATAAAAACCATTTACAAATCACATGGAGCTTCTGTCGTACATATCTTCAGCAGTTAATGAAGCACTTTTACACCATCGAAAGCTAAACTTGCTATTTTATTAAGCTGCTAAGAACAAACTTTATATATTTAATCCCTTTTCAATTTCTTGAATCATTCCTTTAAATGTCATGCTGCGTTCATATGCTCCTCAAACATATAATTACCCCAGACTGGGTATCTGTTAAAGATTAAGAATGTTTCCTCTTAAACATTTTCTTCTATAGTGCATCTCAAATCCACAGTTTCAAGTTCCTTTTATCAGTGACAAGTTTGTGCTTTAATGTTTTTATTGATGTAGCTGGACTGGATTTTTGAGGCTGTTACCGCAGCAGTGCTCAGTCTTGTATAGATGAAACTGGACCAAGCCAGAGCCAAGGTTGGCTTGTGTGCACTTGAGCCTTACTTTCCTGCTAGCTAACTACATACTGTGATGCAAAGACTGTCCCCCACACTCTAATGTATGTATATACGTGACATGTTTTGCCCTAACACAATTTGCATTGTAAATGTGCCAGGACATAACCTGTGAATACCAACAGTGATGGTTTCTCTCACCTGCTGTAACATTTGGCGGGGTCGTTTGTTTTGTTTTGCTAATGTGAATAAGGAGGTACCCCCACCCCCACTTAAAGCGCTGATTAATATAATAATATGGATTAGCCAAGAAATTCTGGTCTTTCAAGCCATCTGTTTTTAGTTACTGTCAAGTTTAAGCTGCTTGACACAGGGCAGGTGTAACAGCATTAACGGTGGCTGAGTTCCATTAAGTGTCCCAGGAAACAGTGCAATCATCGCCACTCAGCAAACATGCACAATACCATGATCCTGGAACTGAGCCACATAAATGGAATGCAGCCATCATGAGTGTTATCAGTTACACCTGTGCTTTTTCATACTATGACGTGTCAAAAGATCTGCTGTGAAAAAGGTTTGCTGGATCCATGGATGTTTTATAAAACTGGACTACCCCCTGAGACAGTAAACAGACGGATATGGATGGTAGCTAAGCAAACTCAACTTGACAGCAGTCACTTTGTGGTGGACCTAAGCCTACTGAGCATAAAGTTAAGCCCCATTCAGTTATGTGCTGTAGTTCATGGTTAATGGTGTCCTACATGCCCCGGTCACCCTACATGACTCAGTTGCAAATCAGATGAAACCTGGCCCCAAAACGTTTTTCAGCTAACTAAAGTGAAATAATCTCAGTGCCAACATGCAGTTATCACAGGTAAGGCATTTACTCTTTTTGTCCCTGCTTTGCTCAAGATAACCAGATGGCAGGTTGGCAACCTCTGCAGGAAGTTTGTAATATGATCTGGAAGTTGTTGACCTTGGAAAGTTTATCTTTAAGTTTACAGTTGGGTTTAGGGTTATGGGTTAGGGTTAGGTTGTTTTTTTCACCATCAAGCAAAAGCTGACACCTTCCAGCTGAAGCTGACAGTGCACTCATCTTGGTCATGGCCTGGTTCCTCTTGCTGTGTTGTCTGTTTTATCTTATTGTGCCTGGTCACAAACCTAATGTCCTGATGATCCTGTAAGGGGGTAGGGTTGTTTGGTCCACCTGGTTTTCTCCATATCCAGCCATAATATGATTTTTGGCTAAAAGCAGCTTTAGAATGACACACAGGTATGCTGCTGCACTGGGAGGTTTGGGATAGATGGAGCAGTTCTCTTTAGCATGTAGCTCAGATACTAATGTTAGGTTGTGACAGCCATTGCACAGGTGTACCGGGTGTGTTATTGCCTAATGATATGAATTCAGCTTTTATTCATAAGTGGAAGAATGCCTCGTGTTTGTCTCACTTTAACCAAAGCTTCAGCTTTCTTTGTACTGCTTCAAATGCTCTCTTTGGCTCTGACAGGGTGCCCTTTTCAGTTGTGCATTTTAAGTGATTTGAGTGTCACAAACACTTTCCATGCACACTGCTGATTTGCTTTGTGCACTCTCCTGTGGAGCAGTGTTAACCCCCTGTTTTAGCTTCTATTCCTACTTGATAAAAAGGTGGAACGGAGTCTGATAGAAATAAATGAGAGAAGAGTGTTTGGCTGGGATTATGTGGTGCTGGGCTTTGGCTCTTATAGGTGCTGCCAGTTGAAGTAGTTGAAACGTGTGAGTGTGGGGGGCGCATATGGTGTATATATAACACCTTTAAAGAGGAGAGAGGGAGAAGAAGACAGTGAACAAGGGGGCGGCCATGATGGAAAAGTGTAAAAGCAACAAGGGTGACACTGTTGAGGTTTTTCTCAGCAATAAACAGGGTGGGGATTGTTTGAAGTGTGTGTGTGTGTGAGAGAGAGAGAGAGGGAGAGCAGGGTGGAAATAGATGCAACAATAGAGGCATTATTCAGTGTTGTTCGCTGTCTGCTCTCCCTTCAGTCAGTTTCTTGGAGGCAGGACTTGGCAACAGAGATAAGACACGCCTTTCAGCTCTGCAGCCATGTTGGCCAGGATGCACTATACTCCAAACTAGACATACTTTAAGTCTGTGCTGCACATTCTTCCACATGCTGGATCTTTCACAGTTCAGTTGACGTCATGTGTCAGCAGTCTGTCTTTGAGGATGGCATGCATGGAGATTATTTATGGTGGACCCTATCGCATAACTCTTCTATCTTCCCAGTGATTTCTATTTTCTGCTGCTTTAGACGCGTGCTCTGACATGGCCTCTCACCCTGCTAATGAGAGCTTACTGTGGTTTACAGTACGTCTGGCAGAAATATTTAAGTTCATCAGTTCATCAAAACTAATATTTTCTAACACACCCATGTTTTGATAATGTTTTATTTCTGTGTCATGCCAAGAATTTGTTCTATCCACACATGGGATTACTAGACACTGCTGTTATGTCAACCATGCAGGCGTAAAAACAATTAATACAGTTCAAACCCTAATACATATTGGTTAGGCTGATGGCTGACAGACATCATGATGTTGAGCTGACATTGTGCCAAAAAATGCCTGCCAGAAACTGATTGAGTCTGCAGGAGTGTGCACAGCCTCTCTGCCCAGTTCATTTGTGCTTTTATCGGGATCAAACATAACAATGTACTAACATGGTTAAATATTTAGCTTCTGGGTAATGACATAACTATACTTAAGCAGTTCATAATTGAGTAAAACACAGCATCAGAACCAAATCACGGGCAAATGATACTTATAGCCACCTACGTAAGTGCAGCCTTTATAGGAGGATATACAGGACTGCATCGAGCAGCTGCAACTGAAGAATGCCTGATCACATCCTTAGTTGCTACAACTTCTTTTAACTATAATTACAGTTATTCCCTTACACTTTCTTCATATGTTGAAGTTTTACAAAAACATAACTTTGTACTATCACATGTTTATTTTTGCATTTTATTATGGTTTAATCACGACAAAGCAGCTGCACGCATAAATAAACCGGCTGATTGCATGTTTACAGGTTGCACGTGCTCCCGCAGGCGCCAATCTGTTTTTGGCAGACAGTCAAGTTTTGGCACAACTCCAGCTTTTTGATTTAAAGCCCCAGATTTGCCAAGGCACCCTTAATAAAGCAGTTTAAACCTCAATGAGACTCACCCTAATATAACAAAATTTGTTGAATCATAATTTTCACAGGCCAGAAACAACACTAAAAACATTGTTGAGCAAGAAAACTGCTCGCTGCAGGATTCAAACCTGTATCATCTTAGAATCCGGTGGCGGGGGAGGAAGCTGGACAGACTCGGCAGACCACATATTGTGAGGGTCTGTTGGGAATGTTTAGCAGAATCCCCTGTCAGAGAGATCTTCAATTCCCACCTCCGGCAGAGCTTTGACCAGATCCCGGGGGAGGTTGGAGACATTGAGTCCAAGTGGACCATATTGTCCACCTCCATTGTCAGTGCGTCCGTTCGGAGCTGTGGCCATACGGTCTCCGGTGCCTGTCGCCATGGCAATCCCTAAACCTGGTGGTGGACGCCGGAAGTAAGGGATGCCATCAAGCTGAATAAGGAGTCCTTTCAAGCCTGGTTGGCTCGTGGGACCCCTGAGGCAGCTGATGGGTACCGGCAGGCCAAGCGGACTGCAGCCCGGGTGGTTGTGGAGGCAAAAACTCGGGTCTGGGAAGAGTTTGGTGAGGCCATGGAGAAGGACTATCGGTCGGTCTCAAAGAGATTCTGGCAAACCGTCCGGCGCCTCAGGAGGGGGAAGCAGTGCCCTGCCAAAACTGTTTACAGTGGAGGTGGGCAGCTGTTGACCTCAACTGGGGACATTGTCGGACGGTGGAAGGAATACTTCAAGGATCTCCTCAATCCCGGTGCCATGTCTTCCGATGAGGAAGCAGAGGCTGAGGGCTCAGAGGTGGACTCGTCCATCACCCAAGCTGAAGTCACTGAGGTAGTCAAGAAGCTTCTCGGTGGCAAGGCACCGGGGGTGGATGAGATCCGCCCTGAGTACCTTAAGTCTCTGGATGTTGTTGGGCTGTCTTGGTTGACACACCTCTGCAACGTCGCATGGCAGTCGGGGACAGTGCCTCTGGACTGGCAGACCAGGGTGGTGGTCCCTCTTTTTAAGAAGGCACATGTGTGTCGTGGACCGGGAGAAGGCATTCAACCGTGTCTTTCGCGGCACCCTGTGGGGGGTGCTCCGGGGCTACGGGGTCCGGGGCCCTTTGCTAAGGGCTGTCCGGTCCCTGTATGACCGGAGCAGGAGCTTGGTTCGCATTGCCAGCAGTAAGTCAGACTTGTTTCCGGTGCACGTTGGACTCCGGCAGGGCTGCCCTTTGTCACCGGTTCTGTTCATTATTTTTATAGACAGAATTTCTGGGTGCAGCCAGGGCCTGGAGTTCGGTTTGGGGACCACAGGAGCTTGTCTCTGCTTTTTGCAGATGATGTTGTCGTGTTGGCTCCATCAAACCAGGACTTCCAGAGTGCACTGGGGCAGTTTGCAGCTGAGTGTGAAGTGGCTGGGATGAGAATCAGCACCTCCAAGTCCAAGGCCATGGTTCTCAGTCAGAA